GAAATTACAAGAGACAGACCAAATACATGGGCATAAGTCACATATGCGAGCACGACTGTTTAACACACATAAGGGATATGTACTACTTAGCCAATAATTTAAAAAACACATGTTTAAAATGTAGTGAAATATCATTTCTAGCCTACCATGTTTCAATTGTATCTTTGAAACAATAATTAATAATATTCTGAAAGCGTAATAAACTAATGTTAGCTACTGGCACCTGTGTAAAATTGGTAGGGTACTTTTAGGAAATAATATGGCAGCATATCATAAAAGGTCCAAAACTTTCAGATCCTTTGATCTAGTAATTGCACAGCTGGGAATTCATCATGAAGTAAAAGGCATCCAGGGAGCGAGCAGGGGGTTAGGAGTTTTTGCTCTACCTGCCTAAGAAAATTGAAAAAAAAAATTTTTTTTTACCAAGAATGACATTAAACCCCTAAACCATACACAAAAATTAACTCAAAATGGATCAAAGACCTGAATTTAAGAACTACACAAATCCCTAGAAAAAAATGGGAAGATCTTTACAATAATGGATTTCACAATGATTTCATGCATATGACTCCAAAAGCACATGCAACGTAAGAAAACTAAATTTCAGCAAAATTAAGAACTCTTTCACCAAAGGCCACTATCAAGAAAGAAAGAAAATAAAAAACTACTATATACAATCAGAGAGAAAATGTTCGTATATCACATCTCTGGGAAAGCACCAAAGACAGGCTCCATTGTGGCAGAAGGCTGAGCTGCTGCTTCCAATGCTGGCATCCCAAATCAGACTTTCAGTTCAAGTCTTGGCTATTCTGCTTCCCATCCAGTTTCTTGCTAATGCACCTAGGGAAGCAGTGGACGATGGTATCCTGACACCCATGTGGGAGACCAAGATAGAGCTCCCAGATCCTGACTTCAGCCTGGCCCATGCGCAGCTGTTGTAGTCATTTGGGGAATGAACTAGTAGATAAACAATCTCTTTATCTCTGCTCCTCCAACTCTCTCACTCTCCCTCTTGCTCTGCTTTTCAAATAAAAATTAGCTTTTTTTAAAAACAAATATATAAGGATTTCCTCTACTTCAATAATAACAAAAGCAATTCAACTTAAAAAAGGAGAAAAGCGATAACAAGACCTTCTTCCAAAAGAAGACCTCAAGCATCTCCTCAAAGAATTGGAAGGAGAGCACGTGGCACAACACTTCAGGCAAGTTCTCTGGAAAGCACCTAGGCCTGTGGACACGGAAGCAGACATGGACAATTAACAGGTCTTCCACGTGTTCAGAGGGAACAAAGAAGAGCCCCCTCTAATACGATGACCACTCAAGTAACACCCAGGACATTCTCCCGGACTCCAAGGGCCCTGAAGTGGTGGCACCAATGAACCATCTCTGTTACTGCCAACAATGTAGTTGGGCAACAAGGAGAGGTGTAACCTTCCCCACTCCTCTGCCACAGACATCTCCCTCACTCCTCCTTCCCTTTCTGGCCCTCTCCATTCCTACCAGAGGGCCAAAGGGGTCTGCAATCTCCATCCCCTCACCTCTGTAAAGATCACTTAAAATTAATGGTTAAAATATAAACTGAATTTAAATATATTTTAAAAGGAGCAAAAGTTTTCAATAAATATTTTGCCAAACGAATGGCCAACAATCACATGAAAAGATGGTCCAGCATCATTAGTCATTAGAGAAACACAAATCAAATCCACAATGAGACGCTACTTTATATCTACCAGGATGGCTGTGGGAAAGTAACAAGTGTTGGTGGGACTGTGGAAAAACTGGAATCTTCAAGCACTTAACAATTTAAAGTGGTACTGTGATGAACAGATTCACAATTCTTTAAAAGTTGAGTGCAAACTACCATGAAAATTCTTCGAGTACAGGGAGAACAGGTACCTGGCATTTTGACTATTTAACGGGACAGAACTGTATACTTTTAGGTGGTTAAAATGGTAAATACTATATCTATTTAACTGCAAAAACAAAATGTGTGAGCAATACTACACAAAATAAAAAGAAACAAAACACTCAAGACTCTGGCAGCTGTTATTGTGAGAAAAGAAATCTTGTGGAGGGGTTGGGGGAAACAGCATGGAGGCTGGCAGGCAACGTGGCATTAGGGGTTACATCATGACTTGGCACAGCCATATCTTATTATCAGAGTGTCTGCCGTGAGTCCTGGGCTCTCTGCTTCTGATGCAGCTCCCTACTAGTACTCCTGGGAGGCAGTGCATGATGGCATGGCCCCTGCACAACACCCTGCCTCCCATATGGGAGATCAGGATGGAGTTCCCGGCTTGCGGCGCCAGCCCTGCCTCCACCCCGGGGGCTGCAGGTATTTGGGGAGTGAATCTATAGATTCACTTTTCTCCCTAACTTCTCTTTTTCTCCATCACTCTGCCTTTCAAATCAGGAAATCTTTAAAAAGAAGAAAGACCTTTGGGTGGTTTCTGTTTCATTTTAAGTACTATTCTCTCTTTTCCACATTTTTGTTAACTAGGCTTTGGATAGAAATAAAGGAAGTTTTAAACCCTTTTCAGATCTCATGATGTACATGGTTCACCAGTTCAAATTCTACCCTTCTAGTGGAATGTTCTTCGCATTTGAACAAGCATTGAGGAAGGATTTACTTAACAAGGGCTCCTCACAAAAGGAAGTAAGATGGTGAGGTAGCTTGGCACACTAATCCTCAGCCCATGGCATTGTCATCTCATATGGCACTAGTTCTACTCTCAGCTGCTCCACTTCCTGATCCAGCTCCCTGCTTGTGGCCTGGGAAAGCAGCTGAGGATGGTTCAAGTCCTTGGGACCCTGCACCCATGTGGGAGATCAGGAATAAGCTCCTGGCTCCTCATCAGGTCAGCCCTGGCCATTACGGCCACTTGGGGAGTGAACCAGTGGATGGAAGATCTCTTCCTCTCTCTGTGTACGACTCTTTCAAGTTGAACAAAACAAAACAAAAAGTTTTTTTAAAAGTTCTTTGCTGCATAGCAAAACTAACGTCCTCTTTCCAGCTGATCCAGTTTGGGCTGGCTAGAGGTCTGCTGAGCAAAGCTTCCAAGGGCCAGTGCTTTCCTGCCAGTCCTCTGGGTGCTGGACAGACAGGGTAGGGACTGCCGAGGCCCCTCTGGGGGAACAATTTCCTCTGGAAGTGTAATAAAGTTCCTAACTCGACTCCAATCAACAAATTAAAGGAGGTTAAACATCCAAGTGAGATTTTTTTTCTTAAATTAATCAAAATTGTTAGCAAGAATTTACCCTCAACAGTCCCCTGAGCTCTCCCCCAAAGGCCCAGTCTGTATAGTAAGTGACACTGGCATGGACACTGGGTTTATAAGCAGGCGCCCAAAAGACCTGTTCTCCCCTTCCTGACAAGTAAATAAAACGGCAAGATCAAATAACTCACTAAAAAGAAGATATAATTTTTTATCTGCCTTTTTACAGTCTCATATCCACTTCCGTTGGGAATAACAAAGTCTGAATTCTTATGCAACACTTATCTAAATGTGTCGATTTTATCGGATTGATGAATTTTGCTAACAAAAGGCTGTGCGAAGAAATCTTTTATGACATATTTGGCCCATTCACAGGACTGGAGCTTTAATTTAACCAACTTGAGAATTCTGAGGGAGAGCTGCAGGTGTTGGATCTGAAAAAAAAAATCATAAATGGGAAGGCATATCAATCTTTATGACAGGGAAACAAAAACACTCTCCACTCGCTTGCCCTCCACAGGCAGGGGAAGGAGAGGTGGCGGGAGCAGGATATTGTCTCGGCTGCACAGCCAAGAGGAAGCAGCCCTGTCTCCCAGTGACCGCTATTTAGTATTGATCAAAAGGGACAGGCCCAGAGAGGAAGGGAGAAATTGATAAAAACAATGAGGTTTGCCAACACTGTGTGCTCAACAAGGACACTCCGGTTTTCGTGACCGCATTAGAATTAGTCATTCCCTACTAGGTTCCTCTCGGTCCCAGAGACCCCTCCTGCCTCCCGCTGCCCCTCCCGCCCAGCGACACCTCTCCCCTTCTGCCTCCAGCTCCCTGACTGTAATGCCAGTCACCCCTTCCTCCTGCACTGCCTCAAATCACACCTTCACTTCCTGGGGAACCACTACAGCGCAATCTCCGCCTCCCTCTTCTCCCCTCTCTCCTCTTTCCTTCTCCCCTACCCCTTCTTGCTGTCTCCTGGGTGCCTGTCCGCCAAGCCAACCTTCTACCTGCAGCCAGTGATCTCCTCACTGGAGGCCTTGCTCAGTAGCTGCCCTGCGCAGTTCACTACTGACCTACTTCCCTTAAGACAGAAGAAACTGTAGCCTACAGAGGTCCATTGTGACATGCTACTCTGCCATCTGGCCTCCAGCGGCACCAGGGCTCCATCAGCCCCTGATGCCATCTCTCCAGCCTCCATGACACACATTTCCCCTTTGACAACTGTGTTGTGGAGAGGCAGAACACATGGGAACACAATTCCTCCCCCTTCCAACTAAGGCCTCCTCAATATGCATGGGCAGGACTAATCTCCGAGGGAGAATGCAGTGGAAAGGGCCTGAGCCCCCCAGACATAGCCCCTGAGCTCCCTGCCCTTTCTGGGGGCTGCCACACACATGCCCCAGTGCCTCACCTCCACCCCAGGGACGAAGATTCACCCACTACAGAGAAGTAACAAGGCAGAGGCCGCCAAGCCAAGAAAAGCTCCCTCCATCCCTAACTGCCCATGCTAGAAAATTAGCTAAAAACTGGTTTGGGCCTTCCTTTTTCTTCTGTATTTTTGGCCTCTTTTAACAGCACTTCAGCCTTTACTTCACATAATACAACTGTGATGGGAGTGAGCATCAGGGGAGATAAGACTCCCTGGGCAGGAGGCTGCCAGCCCACCCAGGTCAGGGAAGTGAAGCCCCAGGGCCTCCCACTGGATTGTGAGCATCCATCCTCCCGTCCTTCCCCATCCCTGTGATCCCCTGACCTGTCCCTCCCACCCCGTCCCTCGGCTAGCAGACCCACTTGGTGTTCTCCAGGGTCTTCTGCATCTTCTTGGTCATCCTGTCTATTGCTGCCTGTCTCTTCTCCTCGGCTAAGAGGTCGATCTTGTTGAGAACCACGACCAGCTTCTGGCAGGCAATCTGACCAATCACCAGGCATTCTGCTGACTGCGTCTGCATCCCCTTGGTCACATCGATGACCAGCATCATCAGATCAATGATTTGGGCCCCTGGGAGGAGAGAACACACAGTCAGAAAGGGGAAGAGGGCAGTGAACCCTGCAGAAAGTCACCCAAGACCCCAGGTCGGGGAAAGCACATTGCTCAGAGTGGGCGGCACGGGATGCATGGCAACCACACCCTTGCAGGCTCCAGCCCTGCCCATGCAGGGTGCCCAGAGCTGCAGGAGCTCACCCACACCTTAGAACCACCAGGAGACAAGGCTATGAGGCCCACAAAACACAGAGCTTGGCCAAAAGGCTGTGCAGCTGTCACCCGCAACAGGGCTGAGATGAAAAAGCCAATCCCCTCACTGTCGCTCCAACAGACAATGGGGAGAAAAATCTCGGCAGGAAAAAACTCACATTTTGTGCTGCGCCTGGAATATCCTGAGATGAGGGCAAAGGAAGAGGAGAGAGATGGGAAAAGAAGAGGAGCTGGAGTGAGCAGTGTCTTCTTACAACACCATGTGGTTCAGTTGGGAGCATGTCATACCAGACTGGTGCTCCACTCTCTTCCTTCGCCTGTCCTTCCTGCTCAGGAGGCCCTCATTCCTTCTGGGAGACAAGGGGCAATGTGCACAGCTCCGCTGCGTAACCATTCAGCTGGATCTCTGGACACGCATGTGTGGACCTGGCTGCAAGCACCACCTGCACAGAGGGCACCAGAGCCAAACAGCAGGTGCACAGATGGTGGAGACATCAAGGAAGGGGCACAACCAGAAGCCAAAGTGACCATGTCCTTTGTTAAGGAGAAGCATTCATTTCAAACAAACAAAAATAGTGTGCTTCTCTAGAAGGCAGAAAATTAAAGTATTTTCTGCTCTGAAATGAATGGTGATTATATTTGGTGAACATATTAGAAGAGTGTGAGAGTGTCCATGAGGATTTTTCCAGATCCAAATGACAGTGTTGGAAAGGCAGAGGACAACACAGCCCATGCTGGGCACAGGGACGGGGAAGGGGCCTGTGGTGTCCGTAGGCACAGTGAGCAGGGCCCTCTCTCACTCCATCAGCTCTGCTGCTCTCAGATGCAGAAAGCGGGACTCAGGGGCAGGTTCACCTGCTCCAGACCCCACATCAACCGGTACCCAAGGGTGCTGGAATCCAGGGCTCTGACAGACTCCCTCTCCTATCTACAGCATCATTGCCTTGCTTTGGAAGCCATCTCTGTCCCAGCCCCAGTCCCCATAGCCATACCATGCTCAGGAGTTCCCCAACTGGCTGCTTCACCTCCAACTTGGTCTATTATAACCCACCTTCCATTAACCTCCTGAAAAGGAACTTTCTTCAAACTCAAAACTCACTGAAACACTGCTGAGGGAGGGGATGTTAACCTGGAAGACCTCCATGAAGTCCAACTTGGAAACAGCCATAGTTGGAGATGTCTGAAACGTCCCTGTGCATTTTTACTAGAAAGTACATAAAGGTTGCTAAACAACACCTTGTATCCGTTAAGAAGAATGAAGCAGTCCCTTAGTACCATCACAGAATCATCTCCAGGTCAAGTGAAGGCACGGGCCAGGAGCTCAACACTGCGGGGGGCTACACACAGGGAAGCAGCAAGGGCATGCGTGTGTCCATGTGTGTGTCTGTATCTGCCTCTCCGTTTACACAATCTCTCTGAAGGGAAAGAAAAAAAAAAAAACCTAACACCTTTGTTTTCTGATAGGAACAGACAAGGGTGGGATAGGAAAAGAATTCTCCCCTGCACTTTGTTCTGTTCACTTCAAACAGGGCTGTGTGGAATCCACTTTGCCATCGAACAATGATCATTGTAAAAGCAGAAATAAATAGCCAAGCAAACAAGGACCTGCCCAGGCCATGCTGTTCTTCTGCCAAGGCCTCTGAATAAAACCAACCCCTGACCATGATCCTTTTTAACTGGACACTGGTTCGCATTTGTGCTGAGTGCATTGCTGTGCCCTTGTCCCAGGACACTGTGGCACTCGTGCACCCCCACCACCAAGGTGCGACCAACCATCTTCCTGGGCTTCCCAGCCCTCAGCAGCCCTGGGAACAGGTCACAGGGCTGAGCTGAGGTGGACTCTTGGGACAGGAAGGGATGAAGCCTGCAGGTTCATTGGGGGGTCCCAGGCCATGTGTCAGTCTCTACAAAGACTTGAGGGCCACACTGACATCCAAGAATCTCAGCACCCAGTGCAGTGGGCCTCCATTTCTGGTGAGACGCTGGAGCCTCGGTGAGCTCATGGGCTCCTGCAGAACCTTTCCTGAGGGGCCAGGCAGCCAGCTGCCTTCTAGAGCCAGCTGCTTAGCCCCTCATCGGCAGATGGGCAACTCAACTTTGGAGACATGCGGTGCTGGCCTGTGGTTAAACAGCAAGTAAGCACCAGGGAAGAGATCTGTGCTCCAGTGCCCAGGTTCTTAACCAGTACACTACCCACTCTGTCCTGTCCTTCCCACTGTGCACCAACTTTGTCCCTTCTCTCCTCTTCCCACCTGAGAATTAATGTACACCGCTTCTTGCTCTACCCTGGTTCCTGCCCCACCTGGAACACCTGTTTTAGCTGCTCTCTCCCCCTGCCAGTGTCTCTCTCTCCCATCCCCATCCACTCTGCGCGTTCAGAATCAACCCTGGCTTTGCAATCTGTATTCAAAGCACAGGGCCCAGCTTAATAAATCTCTGTTGGACTGAGCTGAGCCAATGTCAGCCCTCCCTGCCTCATCCGCTTTATTTACCAGGAGCCTGTTCCTTTTCTCCAAGATTCAATTTCCTATCGGTATATACACTCTCCAGGAGTGCCTCGTCTTGGCCTGCTAGCTACAAGGGAAGGCCTCACATGCCAGGGCCTCTTGCCTCTCATGCCTGTCAGGGTGGTGGGGATGGGAAATGAAACTGACCAGAGGACCCAGGAAGCTAAGTGTGGACAGAACCCACACACCCAGGAGCCGGTGGGGATTTTACCCACAAGCCGCCTTTGTTCCAGGAGGCACACAGCTCTGTGGCACAGCCAGCACCCGGGACTTCTGAGGCGACCAGAGGTCATGGCAGCCTGACTGGCCACACTGAGAAGCAGGGCCCTGCTGGGAACTGGGGTCAGTGCCCGGCAAGGGCCTGCTGCCTGACAGCAGCTCTAAGCTCCCCTCATTTCTCCATCAAACTTTTGATCAGACAGCAGGAAGTGACACAACTGGCCCGTCCTGTCTTTTCAAAATCCCTAGTATTGCCACAGAATGAATCCAACAGTGTCCTTCCCGATTCCCACGGACCCAGGGTAGGAAATCATTGTGAGACTAGAGGGACCAAGAGAGCGAGTGGGTGGGAAATGCAAGACAAAAAAACTGAGGCTTACAAATGGTCCTCTATGCTGCCCGGTCTATCGGAGCTTTTCATCTGGCTGAACTGACGGCAGGACCCTGGAGAGGTTTGCAGAGTAATTATAGCAGGGTTAAAGTTGCTCGGACTTTAAAAAATTACAATTTCCAGTTCTGTAGATGATATATCTTAACCATTTCAAAAATAAAAATAATGAAAAGTTTACAAAGGTCGGCATTTAACAAAGTAGAAATTATCTGAGATGTCATTTTCCTTTTGGAAAACACTGTGTTCAGAGAAACTCAATACCAAATTGCAAGCAATCTCAAAAACAGGTTTTTTAAAAATTAAAAGCTATAGTTATTACAAGAAAAAAAACAACATTAAAGAAAAATTTGTTTTCAACAGGTAACTTTAAATATTCAATATACTCTATAGATATCAGAGTACTTCAACTACTCTGGTATATTCACAGTATATTCTTAGAGGGGCTGGTGTTATGGCACAGCACATAAATGATTTCCTACCCTGGGTCCACTGCCTGCAATGCTGGCATCCCAAACGGGTACTGTTTCAAGACTCAGCTGCTCCACTTATAATCCAGCTACTTGCTAATATGTCTAGGAAAGCAGAAGATGATCCGAGTCCTTGGACCCCTGCACCTGTGTGGAGATCCAGAAGTTCTGGCTCCTAGGTTCAGCCTGCAACAGCCCTGGTCGTTGCAGCCATTTGAAGAGTGAACCAGTAAATGCACAATATCGCTTGCTCTTTGTTTCTTCCTCTCTGCATAACTCTGACTTTCAAATAAGTAAATCAATATTTTTTAAAAGTTCATGGGAAACTAGAATTAAAAGTAAAGGTTGGCCCTGGGGCCGTGGCCTAGTAGCTAAAGTCCTCGCCTTGAATGCACCAGGATCCCATCCCATATGGGTACCGGTTCTAATCCCGGTAGCTCCACTTCCCATCCAGCTCCCTGCCTGTGTCCTGGGAAAGCAGTCGAGGACGGCCCAAAGCCTTAAGACCCTGCACCCACATGGGAGACCTGGAGGAAGTTTCTGGCTCCTGGCTTAGGATCAGAACAGCACTGGCCGTTGTGGTCACTTGGGGGGTGAATCATCGGACAGAAGATCTTCCTCTTTGTCTCTTACCCAGGTCTCCCATTGGGTGGCAAGGACCCAGTTCTCTGAGACATTACTTACTATCTCCCAACCATTACTTACTATCTTCCTCCACAATCAGGAAACAGGAAGCAGGAGCCAAAGCTGAGATGGGGATATCTTAAGCGCTACCCTAACCAGCTACACCACCTCAACTGTAAAACAGGCACCAACAGCTCCACCTCTATTTTCCACTCCTGTGGTGTCTATCACCCTACTTAGAAATCCCAGGTATCCAAAGGGGCAACAGCCCAGAAGGAAAGTACTCTGACTGGGGCCTTGAGCAGGGACTCCATGGAGGGAGCTGCTGTCTGGCAAGAAGAGCAGGCGGCTAGGGCCCGGCGGCTAAAGTCCTCACCTTGAATGTGCTCTGGGATCCCATATGGGCGCCGGTTCTAATCCTGGCAGCTCCACTTCCCATCCAGCTCCATGTTTGTGGCCTGGGAAAGCAGTTGAGAACAGCCCAAAGTTTTGGGACCCTGCACCCACGTGGGAAACCCGGAAGAAGATCCTGGCTTCGGATCAGCATAGCATCGGCCGTTGCGCTCACTTGGGGAGTGAATCATCGGATGGAAGATC